CCGCGCCCACCCCGGCTCCCCTCGCCCGGCTGGAGGGCATCAAGGTGAGGCCCTCGCCCCGCGCGCCCCGGGCCGGGCCGGACCTACACGCTGCTCCCCGCGCGGCCCCTGCCTGTCCCCTCTTGCCGGGGCCGGGCCGGGACCGGGCGCTTTCCCCTCCGGTAGCGCTGCCTGGCGCCCGAGCTGCCCGCGGTGCCCTTCCCGTAGGTGGGACACGAGCAGAAGGTCCAGCTGGTGGCCGACCGGGACCACTTCATCCGAACCCTCAGCCTCAAGCCGCTGCTCTTCGGTAAGTCCGCGGGGCGCCCCCGGGAGGGCCAGGGGCTGCCAGTGGGTGGCCGCCTAGAGGCTCGTGTTGGCCACGTGACTTTGTTTTGAAAATGGCTGTTTCCAGGTCCCCACCCCCCTTTTTTTCCAGCTCGAGGTTTCCCAAAGTGAAGCGCCCGCCCCCACCTCCGTCACGGGGGTAACCTTTCCACACTCGCCTCCCTGACCCCTGTTCTCCGCAGCTGATCCTTCTTCCCTCACCGGACGGGGCAGTGTGACCCTGAGGCTAAACCGCCTGCAGACACCCCGTCTCCGTCAGCTGTCACATTCTGTAATGGGGCGGGGGAGGGACTCAGCTGATCTGGGCCCTGTGGTTTGATGAGAAACAGGCCGTCCGGTGGATAAACGGGTGACCCCTCCCCCCCCAGCCCCGCCTCTGCTGCCCGCACTCAGCTTCTCCCTGGGCCCAGGCTTGTGCGCAGCCACAGCAGCAAAGCCTCGCCAGGCGGCCCGTCTGGAGCCAGCATCTGGGTCGCTTTCTGAGCTCTTGTGCTGGGCTCCGTGTGATCATTCAGTTCTTACCGCCTGTCCGGGAGGTGGGTGTAGACACCCCTTCTCAGGGTGGAGGGTGAGAAATGAGGCGCCGAGAGCTGCCGCTGCTGGCCAGGCCATGCAGCTAGTTCCTGGTGAAGCGGGGCGCCGGTGTGCTGGGGGAAGACTGAAGGCCCTCCGAGACCCCCAGGCAACAAGGCGGGCCTAGGCCCGCGCCCTGGCCCAGCCTCGAGACCCGCTGCCCCTGGCCACTGCAGGAGGGAGTGGGTAGGGAGATGTAAGCAGAACATCTGAGCTCATGCCCTCGACCCTGAGCAGAGGCCCGGGGTGGGTTATGCCTGGAGCCGTGAGGATGACCCATCTGCATGCCGTTTGAGGGGAAATAGGTTACTGATATCTTGTGAAAGGGCCCCTGAAAGGTGGTGGCTGCTGTTATTACTATTGCCCAGTGTTAAAGTCTGTGCAAGCACTGTTTTAGGTACTGGAAACACAGCACTGAACACAATAGGAAACAAAACACCTGACGCTGACATTCAAATGAGGAGACACACAATAAGGAAGCTAATCCTACATCATAAAACCCTGATATGCAAATCGACTGAACAGCCGAAGGACTGGCACATGACTAGTCGCTGTGATGCGCACTGACCACCAGGGGGCAGATGCTCAACGCAGGAGCTGCCCCCTGGTGGTCAGCGGGCTCCCACAGGGGGAGCACAGCTCAGCCAGAAGGCCTGCTCAGGGCGTGCAGGAGGCAGCCAATCAGTGATTCTCATCATTGATGTTTCTCTCCCTCTCCCTTCCTCTCTGAAATCAATAAAAAAAAAAAAAGGTCCCATCCCCAGTTCCTGGCGCACACCTGCTTGACTGGTGTTTCCCACGGGTTTGGACCTTCCCGAGTCTGTTCGGTTCCGAAGGGAGAACCTGCAGTTCGCAGTCGTCATCTCGCTGGGAACATGGTTTCTTCCACGCGGCT